ACACACACACACACACACACACACACACACACACACACACACACACAAACACACATGCATCCTCACTCCAGATCAGCCGCTCATGACCAGGAATCATGGTCCTTGAGAGATATACAGCAGAGGGGGGATTCATACTGTATGCATGTCTGTCATGGTCACTGTATTTCAAATTCTGCAACCGCGCACGCAGCGGCAGCATCCAGTGGTGAGGGGGCCTTGACAGCATCCCTTTGAAGCTCACAATAAACACCTCACGCTGCCAACCACTCACCTCCCTATCATCGTAGAGTGCTGCTGAACAGCGGCCTCCAAGAGGCGTTCGAGAATGGTCCATTCTCCCATGGCTGGAGTCAGGACGCATCCACCGGGCACAGAAAAATCAGGATTGACCCCGCAACAGGGTTTCCCAGTATAAAATGACCAGCGCTGGTGTTAAAAGTCCACTTGTGTTGAGGTAGAAAAAAGTCAAAAGTGGCTTCAGGTGGTTGTGTCGGGGTTAGGAAACCCTGCGGAACCTCTCGGCTCTCGCTGATCTTTATACTTCTTTTTTTCAGGTCAAAAACTCTGCGATGGTTTAGCTGTCCATGCACAGCCACACGTGAGCGTGTCTTCCCACTCCCTTGCTTGTGTTCCTCTCCTCTGGCCGCTCCTGACGCTCTCTAACCCTCCAGGAAGCCGGGCTGGTCATGCGTTCTCGCGCACACCTGATGTTCCACCAGTTTTCATCGACTTCAGCAAGCGACTTTTGCAAATGGACATCTTGCACACAAACTCTCCCGTTCTTACACACTCTTCTTTTTTCCTTTTTTTTGTCCTTTTAACTTAATTTCTTTGGTTCCTCCCTGTTGCTCCCCTTCCCCGCTGTCGGTTTACCTCAAACAGAACAGGACCGAAACATTGCGCTCTTCTCACTCCGTCTCCTTCCAGAGACGCGTAGATTTCTCCAGCTCTCACTCTCCCTCCCCTCTCTGCCTCCGTAGGCTCTCTCAGCGTGCTTTATGAGCGGCAGCACTCCTTTCTTCTCTTTCCTTCATCTTTTTTCCTCCTTTTTCCCCTCTTGATTTCTCTCTGTTAGCTTTCACCTGCCACCGTCTCCCTCTTCCTCCCGGAGCCAGTCGGCAGCCAGACCGAACGTGTGTCTAGAGGATTAGAGAGGAATCATCTCTCTGCTCCTCCCCCTCTCCCTACACTCACTCACTCTCCATCACCGTGTTTATCCTCCCTCCTCTCCTCACCCTATTCTCTTCATCTCTTACTGTCCTTACACCGCAGGAAAAATAAAACGCATCATTTCTACAGTTTTCTCTCAGAAAGATCAGCATTTTCTGCTGTGGGTATCTATCTCATTTTCATTTTTCAAGCCTCCGTGCACGCTTTGTACCTTGTAACTGCAAGCATGATCGTTTTTACACAAACACGCAGGCTCATTCAGATGGACACGTTAGTGGCTGTTCTATGCTGAGGCTAAGCAAGGATAGTGAGCTTACACAGGGGAGTGTGCCGAGCCACAGCGTGATGCGATCAGTGTGTGCAGACGATGCAAACAGAATTAGTTATCAGCCATTAAAAAATTAGAGCAGTTTACCCAGAGAGGATGCTGTGCATTGGTCAGTTAAGCGCAAACTCCGCAAACGAGGGTCACGCGTGACCAAACATTCAGGTGTTTTTATTAATAAATCTCAATCATGACAACGCCATGAGCTGAATGTTCAGAAACATTTTTTTTCAGTAATTGTATGCTGTTTTCATGTTTGTGAAGTCAACCTATTATTTTTTAATCTGCTTGCTGTTATGTTTGGTATTCGTAGATCTTATTTGTTTTGTCAATTAAAAAACCCAAGAAAATTCATAATTTGACAGCTTTTTGTCCCACAACAGTGACACTTCTGCTGAAGTTTAGTTTTTTTTTCTTAAACAATAGTGTCAAAAAAGGAAAGAATGGCAAAAAAGGGGGGGGCATTTCCCCCCTCAAAATCATGTTAATTCCATTTATTAGGACTATTTATGTCAACTGCCTAGATCTTACAGAATTCACCATTGCTGTTAATATTTGCTCTTTGAGGTGAAAGAAAGATCAGGTAGTTTTATTAAGCTGAAATAGCTACATTGATCTTTTTCTTCAGATGAGAGCATAAAATATTTACTTAATCAGTCTTTCCATAGATGTGAATTAATGTTGGATAAGTCTACAATGTTTGTTACCTTAACTGTCCTGCGGCACAAAGCTCATTTTGCTCACGTGTGTCCGCGTGTGGCCATGTAGTACCTGTGGATGAGGAGATGATGGAAAATACCAGACATTCACGTACATATTTGTCAATCTTTTAAAAATTATATTTCACATATATATACTGGCAACACGCACACAGTAACAAAGCAGTTTTTAATGTGCTCTACCATCACTCTCTCCTTGAGCTCCCAGTTCCGGAGGTCTAGTAATCTATTCTGTAATGAGTGACTGCACACACACATAATCCGTCCTACCCCATGTCAAGGCAATCTGGCAGGACCATGTCTCGCACGTGAGGAGAGGAAGCAAAAACAGGGAGGGAAAAAAACACAAACAACTGTGTTGCAGCAATCGGTCCCTGACACTCAGTATAAGAAGGAACTAAAATGATGATGATTTTCTTGCCCTCTGTGCTTGTCAAGTGATAGCAAACTCTTTAAGTAGTTGTTGGTATGCGGACTCAGATATCTTTTCTGCATTTAAGGCACTTTTACTCCATTGGATACACATATCATTGCTGCAGGGGCTAAGTCTATTTGATACCAGCGACACCCTTACTTCCATGTAAGGCCACCATCAGGATCAAATAAGTAACCACTGTCAGATTCACCAAAGTATATCTGAGGATGCACAGAAATTCATAACTTGCTTACAATAATAAACACATTCCCAGTAACAGGCTAGAAAATGGCCCAAGATGAAGACCCAGAGATGTCAGACTATGGCATCTACATAGAATCAACTTGGCGGGTTTTTTCATGTTGGTTCATGTGTTGATTTACAGATGTCTGTACTTAAGGTCCTGATACTTTAAAAATGATTTCCTACTTTACTGTGAACATTAAAGTGCAATTTATCACGTGACAGGTATCCCATTGAACGTATGAAGACCTTCATCACGCTGTCATTTAGAGATGTAAACTAGATATACAGTACAACTATCTATGAATAACAGGAAAATGTCAGAGGGGCTTCCACCTGAGCCACAAATATTACTCCAAAGGAACCCGAGGTCATAAACTCAGTTGCATTTTTGGAGGGAAATATATTATATATAAATTTATCATAAAAATTCAAGCTTAGACTGAGCTTTTGTTTTATTTTTTGGGCTCAGATTTGAACTTCTGAGTTTAGCTGAAGTTGTTGTCCATTGTTTTATTGTTCCTTTACACCCCATTACCTAAACAACATTGGGTGATAAACTCAGGAGGTGATAAATTAGAATCAAAATTTAAAAGAAAAATGAAAGTGGCAAACATTTAAAAACAAAAAAAAACTCAGACAATAACCTTTACTTTTTTGATAAATATTGGCCAAGAAATGTCCTCAAACAGAAATCGGGTTCACTTTGATATGAACTCTTAAATGTTATCCCTGTGTTAGATAGGTTGTGGCATAGAGGATAGCCCCAGCTCATTAGGTAAATACTTGTGGTTTTAAGTTCAGTATTGGTCAATTTGTGAATATCTTTTAAGGTTGAAAGATTAGCGCCACCCTCATAAGAGGTTGTAATCCTGGTTTAGGACCCTGAGTCTGAAATCTAATTGCACTGTAGTGAGGCAAAGCTTTACTCAGCTCCCAAATTTGTGTACATGGTGAACGCATTAACCACGTCACTAATAAGTTGCAGAAGCTTGTTTGATTAAAATACAATTCTGAAAATCAATTACATTTTTTAAAATCAGCCGCTTGGTGACTTAAAGGACGCACTTAAGCCTGAAGTCTGCGAATCACGTTAATAAAGAAAAGGTTGTGCATGAGGCTCCTCATGGTGGGAAAAGAAGTGCCTTCATGAGATAACAGGTCATTTCATCAGCGGGTAATTAGTGTAAAAACGCTGCTTAGCCACGATAATGGGATGTGGTCCAGACTGCACATAGTCAAGTGAGAAGAAACCAACTGATTTAGACAGCTTTGCCAGTGTATGTATGGGGGGTTGCTTTAAGGACTCTAGGGTAAAAGATTACAATTTCACACTGATTATTGGATAAGGAGCTTTGGCACAGCTCCAGGTACCACAGGACCATCAGGACACTGAAGTCAATTACGGTTTTAAGGTATCAGGTTGGAATCACTCATCGCATCTCCACCAATTTTATCAACACCATCTGTCTCAAGTTAAAACATTGCAATGTATAAAATATTAACTTTAAATTGAGCTTCAAACTATGTAGCCATTTGTTACTTTATGTACAATTAACGTGTCATTACTGTAGGCTTCTAGAATGGACACACAAAGTGCACGATTTAAGTTTTTAATAAATATTTTAAATGTTAAAAATGCAAAAACCAGTCGCAATTTCACCATAAAAGAGGGCATGTTTAACAGTGGACATAACACTGCAGTACTAACCGGCACCTGACATGGCTGCTGACCCTTACATGAACCAAAGCTGGGTCTCGTCTGCATACCAGAGTTGTGGCACACCGACATGACCTCAGCATGCTCAACAACAACTAAAAGGTTATTATAACTACTTGAAAGAGATAATATGAAAGCTGTCAGCAGATGCAAGAGAAAACACTCAAGCGGTTCTTTGAGTTATACTTTATTTAACAGTTTCACGGGTCTTTATGCAATTTCTTTAAAGGCTCTCTTCTCGACGTATTTAACTTTCAGTCTCCTCTTAAACCTGAAAAACAGAAACAGTTGGTTGAATACATCATTTGTTCTCAACATCCCGTTTATAAATCTAAACATCACAGTCTATATTCGTGTAACGTAACAAATAGCGGAGAGGCCCTTACTTGGCTCTTTCTCTGGGCTCAATGATGTTCCTCTTCTGCAGGCTTTTGAAGCGATCCTTTAGGATGCTGCCCTCTGGCTGCAGAGATGTGACATTACAAGACATGAAAATTCCAGGCGAGTCCAGCCAAATACACGTGAAAAAACTGAAACTCTGCTCAGAGTTATCAGACCATTCCACCCAAAATTATTAAATCCCCATTCGTACCATGAAGGCTGATAAAGGTTATTACACAAATACCAAATAATAATTGTAGATTCTCTAATGACAATGATCAAATTATCCCAAAAGAGAAAGTGGGTCATCCCTGTATTAGCGTGCAGGATAAAGCTTAGAATAAGATTTTTTTTTTCATTTTAAATTCTTTTTGTTTATTTTTTAGTTTTTTTAAATTCGGGAAACGTACCTTGAGTTGCCGAAGGGAGCCAGCCAGTTCGTCACTGAGCTGTACCTCCAGGTCCGTAGCCTGGAATCTGCAAACAAGAAAGAAAAGCAAACATTTATAAAGACAGTAAAAGGGCAAGTGTACAAGAGCAGATGACGACAGGCAAACATTTGAAAATATTCGCACATTAAAGACACGAAAAACATATGCACACCTTGTAGTCTGGAAAGTTGACAAAGCAAACACTTTTCATGTTGCTACATATATTCTGATTAACATTCTTAGAGCGCCATCAGAATGCAGGTTAAAGGGAAAACTGGGAAAATAATGGGTGCTCTCCCAGTTTTACATAACATCAGTTTGCTCTTGTAAGGATACCGTTCATCAACGGCCACTTTTACCGTTAATGCACCCCTCTGAATCTTATGGCAACCTGCCCGAGGCACAAACCTCGTACACGAAACGCTAAATGAAATGGAGCGCGGAGGCTTAGGCGTTTACTTGAGTTTGCCGAGACGTCTGGGCTGAGCTTTCTGGGCCTCCTGTTTGGCCTTCCGTTTAATCTGTTTGGTCTCTGTCTCGTGTTCCTGGTGTTTGATGGAGGTCTTTATGGAGCGGAGCTGGAACAGCTGCTGCTTCTGGTCAATCTGCCGTCTGCTGGCCAGGCGCCGTTGCGCCTGGAATTAGATTAAAGAAAAAAGAAAAAGAAGGGAAGCAATTAAACATATGGATAAATGACCGCATGGCGACTTTTGGAAGTCACGTCTCTGTTGATGAACTTTACTCATACTTCAGAAGTAGGGTTGTCGAATGTATCGAAACTCCAAAAAGTATCGATACTAAAATGTTGTATCCGGACATGATACTCATTTTCAAAAGTATCGATACCAATCTCTCATACCTTAATTTTTTCCGCTTTCTCTTTTCTTCTCTGTTTTTCCGTCTTCTTCTCAGCCACAGCGATGGCTGCCACAGCTGCTTCTTCATCATCCTCGTTAGGAGCTGCCTCTTCGTCCCCGATTTTCTCGTCGTCCTCCTCCACCAAACCTTCTACCTGCTCGCGGAGGTTTGTCTCCTAAGAACGAACACAGACGATTGTTAAGTGAAAGCCGGCAGTGACACCACTGACAGAACTGGGTTAAAAGTCTGCACCTCTGTGGCCGTGTCTTCTCTGTTGACAGCCAACTGTTTCTCGAGTTTGGCTTCTTGTTTTTGTTTCTTGACTTCCACCTCATGGGCCTCCCTAAGCAAAGCCTGTCGTTCACACGAGAGATTGTCAGAGCAGTGACCACTATTTTTTTTACTTTTTTTTTTTATTATAAAGATTTAGAAAATAAAAAACAGCAATATCATTGAAACAAAAGAGTGAGACTTCTGTTCTCAGAAAGTCGATGACATTCAATAAGATTTCAGGCAAAAGAAAAACATTTGCCATCACAAACACTTTGTCTTTACATTCTAAAATGTTGCATCAGTGTCTACATCTAGAGCCCCGGTTACCTGGTGGGAAAGGAAGTCTGGGTTGTAGGATCCTCCCGGAGCGATGACTTCCACAGCCGGAATCACGGACGGCTTTTGGCTCAGCTTCTCTGGACGCTGAACAAATAATCTGTTAATAGTGTATCACACACATACCCACAGGTGCCTTATATCACTCAAAATAAAGTTATTTCTTTAGATAATAAATATTTTAGTCTCACCTTAACCGGTCCTTTGCATGTCTGTTTAAGATACCAGGGATCAGCCGAGTCTTTGACTGTATGCAAAAGAGGGAAAAGTTTGACACATGTTGTGCAGTATCTTAAATTTCACCTGTGCACGCTTTCAAAACTTCCGAATGGTCTCTTAGCTCTCGCGAAACTAATATCCATTTTTCAGAGATGGAAAACCAAACAGAAATTTATTTTACAGCAAGTTCCCCTTCAGGGATTTTGGTGTAAAACACACCAGGTGTGCATGTCAGTGGATTTGACATTTACCAAATAAAGTGCCTTAAAAGGGAATTGCAAGCCAGATGTAGCCATAAGTGACATATATATTTCAGACTCTAAAGGTTAAGTTTCAAGTATTAGTGTGAAGAGTATGAAGACCTGCAAACTTACAAACAGACACTCACAGCAGCAGTAAATAGATAAAACTACCAATTATTGAGGTCATCACATTAGCTGGCAGACTGAAAAGTTAAATCTTTTTTTCTTTACATCAGAGTAGGAAACGCATAAGCCTGAATTGTTTAATGTTGATTGAGTCTATGCAATGACGTTTTCCAGTTATAAGTTTAAGTTTAAAAACCTAGAAAGTAAGCCAAACATACATCACAACTGCAAAAATTAATAGAAACCTGCATCCTCTGATGTCAATAATAAACCCTACGGTTCAGCGCTACCTGCAGAAGCTGTCTGCCCTTACAGGTTATCTTTGGGCAAATACCTGTTCTGGTGCACACTGGTTTTCATGAATTTGAGTCCTTCAAACAAGCGTTTTAAATAATCGACAAAGAGCGTTTGTGGATCCTCAGACCCCAGATGAGCATTCACACAAGTCACCTGAGTGCCATGTCTGTCTTCACATTCCCATGAAGGAAATACTGGCAGCGCAAGGATGGGGATCATCACTGGATGGATAAGCAAGCTCACAAATGCACTCATTCATACGTACTCTACTCACCCTTTTCCTCCCATATGTCATAATAGTTCCTGTCTGGGTTGTTGTTGGCCGCTGCTGCTGACTTCTTGACTGTCCTGTCAACAGGCCGTCTGTTCAGCAGCCGTTTCTGCCTCCGTGGCACCACACCTTTAGCTGCCAGCTGCTCAGCCTTCTGGGCAATGCGACGGAGTTTCTTGGCATTTGGTTGCTGGTACGCGAGCACACTGGTGTAGAAGCAAGGAAGTGATAGGTTGATCACACAGGGGTTTGAAGAGATTTGGTCACATCCGATCACACAGAGGCAAGAAAGCCACGCACAGCATTTAGCCCAATGGTGTGGCAGGTTTTAAACTCCTCAGATCCCAGAACACAGTTCACACAACTGTCTTCTGAGCTCCTCTGTGTTGTCTTCACATTTCCATAAAGGAAATGCTGGGAGCGCAAGGATGAGATCATCATAGGACACACCGTACTTCAATTCTAAATATACAATATGTTTCTTTCTTTTAAACATTTTATGTTTTCCGGTGGATTGAAATTTCTTTTACAAAAGCTTCGATTACATCAAGAGTAAAAAAATCAGTATTCAAAGGAAAACAAAAAAATAGACTGTCAACTTTCAGTTCCTTGTCCTGAAGCTGGGACAAAACTGAAGGCATGTAACTGGCCTGCAGTGTATCCATCACATCCCTTTAAAGACTGGAGGAATGGAACAAGGAGTTTGTACTCAGAAATGCCTTCCTTTTTTTTTTACTTGCTTGGGTAATATTGTGTTAGTTAAATGTACTGATGGAACCCTGAGTACATACTAAAGTTGTTAGTTTTTAATAAAGCCCGTATCTAGTGGAAATGCTAAATATTGTTTAAGTCTGTTATTTCTTTTTTTTTTTATTGTGTTTCTGTTCTTATTTACTGCTTACTCTTTTGGTGGTGGGACAAGAGAGTCACGCTGTAGGATTAGGTCTATCCTCAGGGGACGAGGCGCTTTACCTCTTCTCTTCCTTCCCTCCACAGGCTCTGGTGCTTCACACAAAAGGGGATTGTTAGCATTTAAGCAAGCTTAAATGCAGATATTACAAACTAATATGTTGCTCATAAACACGGCACATCACCTCTGTAAGTAGCAAGAAATAGCATTTACCCTTCTGTTCAGCTTTCTCTGACTGTCCAACATCCAGGAAAAAAAGACTGTCGTCAGACTTCTCAGATAGAAGCCCCCTGCAACACAGCAAGATCACATCGTAGGTTTAAGGCTGAAAAACAAATTGCTTAAAAACCTTTTCAAGAGAAAATTTGTTGTATTGGTTAGTCAGTGAAGGTGGAAAATACCAAGGGGCGTCAGATGTATTTTTAAAACTCCGACCCCGTTGCTATCCTCATACTCACCCTGTAGTTCTTTCTTGATGCCTGACGTCTTCTAAAAAGTCTTCCACGTCATTTATGTAACTGTGTTTATTCCAATTTTTTTTCTTATTCTTGTTTACTCGTTTTCTCCGACTACTGACCAAGTCATCAGGGTCTACAGCACTCTTTAAAGTTAAGAAACCAGCTTGTGAGGCTGCCACGCGTTTCAATCTTCTGGCAGCAGCCATTTTGGAGAAAAAAGGGACCGAAGAAAAAAGGCAAACAGGAAGACGTTTCTTCTTCTCTAAAAAGAAAAAAGAACCACCATGGTGGCGCCACCTATAGATCTCTCGATGAATATAATCATATTAATAATAATAAGATACCTTTGGAAGTAACTGATGTAATTTCTTATTGCATCACATTTTATTAATAAGGAAATAATTTAATATTCATTATTTATCCGAGTGTTGAAATATTACTGATTTGAACGTAAATGTAAGTATTTTAGGAATCCAATTATGTCTAAGTTATATAATGATATGTGAATATTATAATACATAAATAAATGTATAATCATAGATCATGTTTCTGTAAAAATACCTTGAGATTAAATAGTGGTTTCACTCTGCATTCTTTCTGAATAATAGCTCAAACTTTTTTTATTTTTCTAGCTAAATAAATTATGTTGGACCTAATACGGAGTTCTACTATTCTTCAAACTACAAAAGGTTGTTAATCGTGACGAATAAAAATAAAACTTGTTGCTCTAGACTGCCCTTCAGTGTGAGTACATAGTTGTTTATCATGTTGACGTATGTGTGTAATATGTTAGCTCCAGATGCATCATGGGAAACGTGTCTCCTCTTGCCTTTCTATGATCTTTTTTTTTCCTCCCTTCATTTTATTGCGAGAACAACGCTTTAGAGACTGAAGAGTAATTTAGTAATTTAAAGCCGAATTTTTTTCCTAAGTTTTCAAAGGTAGGTATATAAATCTTAATTAAACTTAATTCTACCGTTCAATGCCATGTTTGCCTCGAAAACAAGTGTTTTTATGTTTGTTTTCGGTGAAAAAGAAAACGCAGGGCTTTCGGGCTATTATCTTCCTGCTTGGGGAGTCGGGGACCTAAGCAGCACTTGTGATCGACTCGAATTTAACTCGGAAATGCGCGTCAAGTAAGGGGGTATCTGACAAATATTGTCCACCAATTGATACCCTGACATGTGTAGTTTTGGATTGGAAAATTAAATTCCACTTTAATACCCCGGTTTTTATAGTCTTTCGTCGGTTTTAATTATCACCCTCTTCGTTCGCTACAGCGATTTTTCCTTCCCGTTTATATTCTTCGAGCCAGCAGCCAGCCATCATCTTGTGGTGCGTTGGCTTTTTACATGAACAACAGCCGGCACGGGCGGGGCACTTAGTTTTACCCTGAAATACCAGATTCAGTTTGAAAAAACACAAGACACGTGCACCACCGTAAAAGTCGTGGTAGAAAACGAACGTACCCAAGTTCAATGTGCAATGGGCGGGTTTTTGTAGGCTATCGTATGGTTTTAAGTGGACAAGGGGTTGTAGATATCCCTCGCCATAGTGCTGCAACAGCAACGTGATTGGCTTACTTAATAAAGACCTCTGCTTTGATTGGATAAGAATTCTGTCTTTTTTCCATGTAACAATTACATAAGTCATAGTGGGATTTATTAAATAACACAAGGCATCCGGTGCCTTTTTCTGTCTTAATCATTTACGGAAACATTACAGAAATATTCGAGTATTTTAGTGAAATTTAGAATTGATTATTCACACTGTTCCTTTCTATGCTGTTAAGATGCAGTGAGAAATAAACTGTTTGTTTTTTTACAGGTGATCAGTAGTTGCCATGGCCCGAACCAAGCAGACAGCCCGTAAGTCCACTGGAGGCAAAGCCCCACGTAAACAGCTGGCCACAAAAGCTGCTCGTAAAAGTGCCCCTTCCACTGGTGGTGTCAAGAAGCCACATCGCTACAGGTAACACACACTAACTTGTTCTTCTGTGTGTGGGAGATGGAAGCAGCAGATTTCACGTTTTATTCTTTTTATTCATATAATTATTATTGATTAGTTACAAGATAAGCAGATTAATTCCTCTTTTGTTGTCCAGAGTTCAGTGAAACCTTGATTTAACATTCAAGATTTCGCAAAGTTCATACAGTAAAACTTAAGTGTTATTGAAGGTCTCAAACCCTTACTGATGTCTGTGAAACTGAGAGTGTTATTCTGTGTCAGATTAGTCTTGAAGTAGTGTCATTCAGAAATGCACATTTGCTTTTCCCTACAATTCCCCAGGCCTGGTACTGTGGCTTTGCGTGAGATCCGTCGTTACCAAAAGTCCACTGAGCTGCTGATCCGCAAGCTGCCCTTCCAGCGTCTTGTGAGGGAGATCGCCCAGGACTTCAAGACTGATTTGCGTTTCCAGAGTGCGGCCATCGGAGCTCTCCAGGTCAGCGACCATTGCTTTAGGAGATTCTAGCATTTTCTAGCATTTTCAAACGTTCCATTATTCAAAGGGTTTGTTCTGTCATCTGCAGGAGGCCAGCGAGGCCTACTTGGTGGGTCTGTTTGAGGACACCAACCTGTGCGCCATCCATGCCAAGCGTGTCACCATCATGCCCAAAGACATCCAGTTGGCACGTCGCATCCGTGGAGAGCGCGCCTAAATATTTTTCTGAAATATGAAATGCTGTCCTCTTATTTCTCTCTCTCCTTTCTCTATTGTTAGTAGTTTGGTCTGAGGTTCTATATATAACATATGATTGTGATAACCATAAATGTGTGATCATGTCTGCTTTGGTGCTACTAGTAGCAGATACTCCATAGAGGCACCTTCTTGTATCTTTCAAACTTTGAACCAGAATACATTTATGAATTGCTATTAGTAAGCGCACAGGTATATACCTTGTTACCTCGAAGAATAAGGTGTTTTCCAGGCAAGTATAGTGAATTATCTGAAATGGGTATAGGAATTAGCATTAAGGTTTCCTTTAGGAATGGACACATAAATTGAGTGTTGATTTTTTTTTTTTTTAAAATAGAAATTTGTTGTTAAAGTAGTGATTTTTTTTATACACAATAGTGTATTTCTACTGTTACTATTATTCAATGTATCAAAATGCAAAAGTTTCATTCTTTTTGTCAATTGGAAACATTGTGCTATGATGACACTGCATGGTTTGACAGACTACGGGCGGCATATATGTAGCAGATCTGTTGATCATGTTTTGATTTTTCAGTCACAACAATGTCCTGGTAATGTTTTTTGTTCCATTCTCAGGTTAATATAACCTTTTTTTTCTAATGTGCTTTTGATTTATGTTTTCAGTTATTTTTATGAACAATATTTTTACTCTGGAATTCACATTCAAGCATAATAAAGATTCTTGTGGTTAAAAGATGCATGCAAATGTAAATCTACTTGAAGAGATACTTTGAGGTTAGATATTACAGGGAGCATTTTCAAACTGAATCAAACTTTTCATTTGGTGCACTATTTTCTGACATTCAAATAAAACCAACAGGAAAACACATTTTACTAAAACTTAACCCACAGACTGAAAAAAATAACATAAATCCGAAGTCAAATGAACGAAAAAAATCTAAAACTTTACTTTGCAGTCAGCTGTAGATTCTTTTAATAAAATATGGCGAATAATAAATTAATTCGGATGTTTGTAGCCCAAAAAGGGCATTTGGCCAAAATAATAAGGATAGCAACTTCCTTTATACAAAACATTTTATTAAATCCAAAACGTTTTTTTGACAAATATTCAGGGAAGAAATTGATCCTTTACTTTCACTTTCACCTCTATGCATATCCACAGAGACATTACCATGATTGTTAAATTGGCGTATTAACATTAATTAATTAATATTAACATGGTCTTGCAAATCAGATAATTCATTTATATTCTTCCACAGTGTATCACAGTAATCATCTTACTACTGTGGTGCGCAACAATACAGATACTGGGGCACAACAGGTTTCATTAATACTTTCCCTTCAAAGGCACATGTTCAACTTTATTTTGATTAGGAGAAGAAGTCAAATAATAAATATTCCAAGAAGGCAGAATGAGGTAGTTTATATACTTTTTATTTGTTATAAAAACATTGGGTGCAGACTGATTCGAAAAATAACGAACACAGTCAAACTGATTTCCCTGCACGTGTGAAAGTTTTCTTTTAAATCAGTGCAGTCCCTGTTAGGTTAAAACCTACATTTTCTGTTAACATGGCCAGAAGAATGTGTCAAACTAAAAGCCAAAATGATATGTGAGCACTGATGCATTGTGGGACACATGATTGACGCGGCGGCCATTTTCCCGCTGGACGCTGCTTCCCATTGTGGATACGAAGAACAAAATAGAGACAAGCCGAATACAGCTGACAAATTCGACTCAGTTTCCTTTTAGGTAAGCTTCTCAAAATAGGTAATTTTATAGTTGTAAATAAAGTTAACATTTTTAAGTTGTACATATCTATATTAATCCAGATATTCAGCTGTAATTATTGTCGTGTGGGTAAATACAGACATGGTTGTCGGAACGGCAGCTGAAATGCAGTCTTCTCCGCAGCCGCTCAGATGAGGGGAAATTCAGTTTCAAATTATGCGCCGGTTCAGCTCGGTTCTACGCAGCCGTTGGGGGCAGTTTAGTTCCCTTACGTGTATCTACGAGTTCCTTGAAATGTCCTCTGTGTTGTTTTCATATTTTCCGATACATTTGAGGGACGGTTGTTTTTAAAACAGAAGTTGTTGATGTGCTACTCGTTTGCTCTTCTGCTCTGGGTCTTTATCCTGTTTGCGCATCAAACCGTCGCCATCATCAGAGCGCGGAAGGCGGAGCTAGCAATAGCAGCAACCAATCGTAGATCCCACCTACTTTACGAATTCGGCATGCTGATTGGCTGTAACTTAATTCAATCTCATGCGTCTTTGATTCGTAGCCAATAGTATAAATGTTTCTGTGTGACTGATGTTTTGTCGGGCAGAATGTAATCGGAAATGTCCCGAATGTCTACTTGGAGAAAGGTGAACTTTATTAAAGTTCCAGTTTTAAAACATATATATATTTATAGGTTGTGATGTCGACATTTACTTTACGTGAATAGTAAAATTGTCCAAAGGAACAAAACACTGTATAAACGATTTTTTTTATTTTTCACCATACTGCAAACATTATTGTTTTGAAAAACAGGGTCACTTGTTGATTTTGGAATCTTAGTCCGTTTATTCAACTATAACATAACCGGTATTTCTGTGAATTTTCTTTGTTGGGGTCTCTTTGAACATAGAGGGAAGTGAGCTTAGGTATATTTTATTACAAACATTTTTTTAAATGTGAAGAACTTAAATCGGTTTAACTCAATTATCTTTTTTTTATGATTAATGTTAAAACAGTAAGTTGCTTATGACCTGTGACAAAACCAAAGCTGTTATATTGATTTCCCCTTTTCTTACTCGTCTTCATCAGGTGATCTGTAGTTGCCATGGCTCGTACCAAGCAGACAGCCCGTAAGTCTACTGGGGGCAAAGCCCCACGTAAGCAGCTTGCCACGAAGGCAGCTCGCAAAAGCGCACCTTCCACTGGTGGTGTGAAAAAGCCACATCGCTACAGGTAAGAAGGCTTCCATTTGCTGAGAAGGAAGTGCTACATTACACTTTCTTGATGTACTTCTTTTGGTTTGCAAGAGCAAAAAGTACAAATGAATTTTCCTTGCGAACCAAAATATCTTCCAGGATGTCCTGTTTTTTTATTATATGAAAGGACACCATATTGTTTCATTCTGTGATGTTTAAAAAAACACAATTTCTTGCATGAAGGCCTGGTACTGTGGCTCTACGTGAGATCCGTCGTTATCAGAAGTCCACTGAGCTGCTGATCCGCAAACTTCCCTTCCAGCGTCTGGTGAGAGAGATCGCCCAGGACTTCAAGACTGATCTGCGTTTCCAGAGTGCGGCAATTGGAGCTCTGCAGGTTAAAATTAAATTATGTCATAGTTCAAGTCTCGAATGCTCAAGAGTACAAATTACTTCTTTGAACAGGGACAAAAACAAAACAAACAAACTTCCCACAATAGAGGCTTTGTCATTATAAATTAATTTGTAAACCAAGAATTAACTAGAATTGAGGAGTCATAAACAAACCCAAGCATAGGGCTGACTTACAAAACATGTAGGATGTTAAGTACAAAAACATCTCATCGGCATAAACTTTTATGTGAATCCAAAAAATGTCAATAGGACAATCCCCTTTTTCTTTGATGTTGCTTTTCACTTGATCAGGAACTGATTGTGTCTCTGCCAATGCAGCCAGGTCTGAGGAACACCTAAACATCCTGGTTGTAGTTTTTATTACTATTCAAGGGTTGGTATAAATGTGTGTAAAAATGGATCATTGTTCCAAACTGTCTATATTAAGGTGCCTTTAATAGGATATAAAAGCTAAAGTGATGTAACAATATGGCTGATATGACCACCCTCGCTCCTCTTTCTCTTTGCAGGAGGCCAGTGAAGCCTACCTGGTGGGTCTGTTTGAGGACACCAACCTGTGCGCCATCCACGCCAAGCGTGTCACAATCATGCCCAAAGACATCCAGTTGGCACGCCGCATTCGTGGAGAGCGTGCTTAAATACTCTCCATCCTCTTGGTCTTTCTCCTTTTCACCTTTTCTTTCCTTTCTTCACCAATCTATCTATCCGTCCCTCTGCTCCACAGCTTGTCCCTCCCCTGTTAGTAGCGTGTAGGAAAAAAAACTGATTATATTATAATTAAAGTGTATAGTTGTGTTTTTCTTAGTGCTCACAGCAGCAGACTTTTAGGGTACTCATTTTGTGCATGTACCAATTCGTTAGTGATGAGACCTCCTCAAGCACACATTCCCTAGTTTGCTCTGTTTTGCATTCTGTGGGAGTGGGTAACTCATGGGTATTATGAGGAAATACACACATCATAGCAGTGTAGATTTGGAAGGGAGGGACAGGAGAAAAGGACAGGCATTTTTTCTGCTGGGGGTACTGTGATCTCTACAGCAGGGTGCTAGAAGAACTTTCCTGCTCCTATTCTATTGTCTACCGTCCTACTTAGAGGCGGTCAGACATCTCTGTCCCCGTGTGCATGGGGGTTGGATCTCATCACCACACCACATTGTATACAGTCCATCAGCATTTATGCGTAACATTAATGATTCATTCATTCATGATGTTTTTTTTCTTCTTTGAAATAAAACTCAAGCATGAGATTTTTTATTTTTTATTTCAAACAACTTGTGACAGAAATGGGGGGGATGAATCAGATTAAAATGAAGAACAAAAAAAGCTGATTTGAACTATTTTTTCTACTGAAATGTGAAGCTACTGATTATTAGATCTGACACCAAAGTTTATCCTGTCGTTGATGCTCGTTTTCTAACTTTCTGATAAGATCAACCTCACATGTTTATGTGGTATTCCAATTGGTTTCATCTAATTATTCAAAGCCAAAGCTTAAGAACTAAAGAATGGTGTCAGATACTTTTTGTAGCAGAAGCTTTTTTTTAAACAGAGGACCTTTTTATGGCAAAGGTTCGTTGAGGTTTGTAATGTTCTTTCGAACCAAAAGTGTGAAGAAAAAGAAAAGGACAGAATAATGCATTCAAATAAAATGTAAAATAAATCAGTGTGATTGGTCTAATGACAATATTTGTTTTCTGTGTACATCCCCCCGTGCTTCAATTGATTTCCTACTGAATCAGTATATCATCTGTATACCGTTTCTCAGGTTGACTCGTCACCTTTTTAACTTAATTTTTAATTATTTTTTTTCAATTTATCCTTTTTTTTGTTTGTTTTGAAACGTTGAAGATAATGTTTCAATTAAACAATGTTTGTAATTTCCAGATTTGTCATATGATATGGTAATAAATGGATGTTACACACATTCTGTGTCGCGTCTGCAATGGATTACATCTCGGAAATTATCGCAGTATTTGCATTTGCAAAAAAAAGGACCAACTTTTTTTTATTTGTAAGCATTAATAAAAGTATGGTCAAACACTTTGAGTCAGCCATTGGATATACAAACAGCACAGTAACCTTAGAACCATTCCTTTTGGGGATTCAATTAAAGCATTTAACAAACTGAAAAAAATGTGCTCAGACAGCATGAATAATTAATAAGTCCAATTAAAATTTTTTCTTTTATTATTATTTATAGAAGGTCTTGAAAGCGAACTTTTTTAACATGGAATCATGTCCTCATTTATTGCAAGTTCCAGTTTAACCAATAGATGGCAGTAAAACTATACATTCAAGACTTCAGCCACTGCTGCTTCTGACAGTACTTGCAATCTGAGGTGACTTGCAATGATGTTCATACTAAGGTTTACTTGTCTGAAAATGATTAAGTGTAAATATATTCAAAGTCACATGAATTGGAGCTTATATGTAAACTACTCCTGTGGAACATATTTGTGTAACATTACTCACATTTGATTGTTCATGTATGAAAATTCTTCAAACTCCTGAATGCACTTTCATATCCAATTTGCTGAGTATGATTCACAATATAATTTCCTATTTCATTAAAAACCCATACACAGGAAGCCAAACACTCAGTGAGATGTCAGATTCTTGCATTACAATAAATATCCTCCTCTGGGTCGACATCATTCCCCTCATCAGGGTTTCATTTCATCCTTCTACTCCCTTGATTAAAAGGGATAAAGTTGTGCCCTCAGCCATATTCATTTCAGTGAAATACACACACACACATACACACAGATGCATCAGTGGAACTGTGGCCTGGTCTACACTGATTACAATGAAACACACATAGACAAACAAACATCTAATCAAACACCAGCCTTTTAATCCTGTTGTTTTGCATAAAAACATTGGTGTGGAATTACATGTGGGCATGTACACCCACAAACCCACACAGGCAAGCAATCGCCTCTTAGGGGTGAAGTCAGTGAAAATTACGGTTCAGTGTGGTGTCACCCTCTGTTTGATCTCATTTTACTGAGCCACAATTTTATAAACTGATACATCAGAATGATTACCTCTCAAGACATTTGCATACATGTAATCTATTTCATTATTGTAAATAATGTCATTTACAGTTTTTTATAATCCCACTAGGTTTGCAGCGGAAAATACTGGTATCCTTTATGCTCTTATGTATGTAGATTTTCTTGTATTTTGTCTCGATGTAGACTATAGGTGGGTGATTATTAGTCAGCGGGATTATAGAAATACAGGAATATATTCCAAAACATTGATCCAATTTATTCCTGGAAGGGTTTCTGGAGCCCATTGCAGTTGACATTGGTAAAGATGCAGGGTACACCCTGAACGAGTCACCAGTCAATCACAGTACCACACACAGACAAACAACCACACACTCCCTTCACTCGTTGGAGCAATCTAGCTTTCAATTAACCTAACATGAATGGTTTGGGACAGTGGAAGGGAGCCGGAGTACCAGTACCCACGCAGACACGGGAAAAGCATGCAAACTCCAATCAGGGTGGCACCCTGGCCCCTAGGGATTCAAACCAGGAACCCTCTAGCTGTGAGGTGACGGTACTCACCAACACACCACTGTGCCACACTGTTCCAAATCATTCTACAGATTAAGTAAAAAAAAGCATTAACCACTCTATCATTCCATCACACCCTTGAATGAGATATGTTTAAAAACTTAATGTTATGTGTAACCTGTAAGGCATCCCATACTTATCCCAAAATGCAACAAATATGTTTGTGATAAAAATGGGTTTAAAACTAAATAATCAATTTAGCATGTCAAATTTCACAGCTTGGACAAAGAGAAGAGGGAAAAATGGCAAATGCATTGCTAATAAACAGTTGCATCACAACGCGGCTTATGAACAGAATGATTTCTTTCAGGATTTGAATAAAATATTGTTTGAAAGCTTGGCTTTTGTTTTAAATTAGATTTCAAAATGTTGTCATTTGTTTATACTGTAACAATTCGAGATATGAATTGTCCCATCTCTCCTGTATTCAGGAGAGAATGGGAAATGTTTAAGAAATTCAGTAAAAAGCTAAATGTATGTTAACCTTATTAATCAAACAGCAGTTGGAGAAAGAAATGCTTTACAGTCTTCATGACCAATGTAATTTTATATGGAAGGTGTAAAAAGTAATTAAAAATCAAACTCCATGCTACCAACTGATAAATTAAAATTTTAGCTGGATACAAACTAATTACACATATGCAGAAAATAGTGTTCAAGGATCAGATAAAACACATATTCAGATTTAGGTGATTTTAAGGGGGAAAAAGACAGTGACCTCTGTTTGTATTTGTCAGTGATGACAAACCATCCTGCTCATTTTAAGTCAAATGTATAAAAGTGATCAACATTTTGGAATGTCCGAAAAATCTTTGGAAAGTCTCAAGTTTCCTGTTGTTAAGGCATGGTGCCTTTTTGTAAGAACACAGAGAAAACAGAAATCCCATGATATTGAGTTGCTAAAATCTTGTTTTTAAGAATAATGGGTGCTGATTCCTCCAACAAAATCACAGCTGATATTATCTTTTCCGAAATTATCAAAAGTTACAATTAAAGGTGAACACACTGATGAATAATACCTGTCTGAGTTGGACACTGACATCAGATATTAGATTTGTTCATATTTTGCTCATACAAAATTTGAGAAGACTCTTTACTTGCCTACTTGTGCTCAAGGTTTAAACTGAAATTAAAAAAGAAAAAAATTAATAAAGATATCCAAACTTTTTGCAAATGAGTCAATTCTAGACACTATAGCAAAAGAGAAAAAAGAGGAGTTTAAAAATAAGGTACCCTGAGTCTCCTCTTTTTATTTTTCGGGTTTTATTTCCTTCAGAAGAAACGTTTCCTCCTATGTGCACGTGTGTGTGTTTTCTTTCTTTTCTTCTTGTGTGTGTGTGTGTATGTTAAAGGAGCATCCCATGAGACCGAAGCCACAGATTACAAGCGGGCTGCCCTAAATGCTGTGTAATGGACTCTGTGTGTCCATCTGAGAAGGTATGCACATGTTTTGTTTTTTTTCCTCACTCTGTTTTTTTGCTCATGTGTGTTCCTGTGTGTGCATATGTGCGTGAGTTTGTTCGCAAAAGTGCGTTCACCCTCCCCAAGGTCTGCATAGTGCTGCTCCATCTGTGGCACTCAGGGGATTACAGCCAATCTGTCTGTCTGCCGCTCAAAGTGCTGACCGTCAGAGCAGCACCAGATTAACACAGTGCTGGGATTGGGACGAGGGCGGGGGGGGTGACTGGTGGAGCGAGGGTGAGAGCACGATGGAGCAATTGGGGGTGGGGGGGGGGATGGCATGGATATAGCAGAGGAGTGAGATGTGTAGATGTTGGGGGTGGGGGGGTGAATGAGGGTTAGGGGTAAGGGACAATAAGGGACAATTCTCTGGATTGGCACACAACTGGCACAGTGTGCGCGTCCATATGTGTGCGTTGTGCGTTCCATAATGAAAGGGGGGTCGTTGCGCAGGCCAGAATGGGCAGAAGGAGAAGAAGGAAGTGGGACAGATCTACATGGTGGACGGAATTGTGGTGGTTGTAGCTCACGCAGTGTATTGTTGTTCTGGTGGAAGAACAGATACCAGTATATGAGTATCTGACCCA